CCAGGGAGGTGGCCATGCCACAGTTCTTTCTCCTCTTGGGATTTTGGGCATATACACACTCATGTCCAGTGTCATTTTCAAGCTGCCAGAATCGGGACTAGAACCGCAGTCAGATGTTTTCTTTTAAAATAATGTAGTCAGGGGTTGTCAGGTGGCATGTCAGGTCCCACCTGGCCGACCACAGTTCGAGTCCCAGACCTGGTAGCTTGCTTTCTCACTTTTTTCCTCTCTCTGGTCAAGTAGAAATGAATGAATAAATAAAGTTAAATTTTAAAATAGTCATGGATTTAAGTAGAATGAGTGAGTCAATGTCCTGGCAGATGACAGATCACTGCCGGTGTGGGCAGCACGCAGTCGTGGCAGCCATGTCCATGGGCGTGGCCAAATGGTGGCTGAAATGTGGGGACCACTGACCCAAGCCTTCAGCTCCCCAAGCTCAGCCCCTGCACCCCTCACGCTCGCCCCAGGGTCCAGGTGCGGAAATATGGAGAACAGAAGAAATTGCTTATCTCTCCTGGGCTCCTCCCTGAAGCTCCCTCCAAACTGGGGCTTCCGAAGCCAGAGTCCACGGTCATCCCGAAAGCGGACAGCGGTGAGTCAGGCTGACCATGCACCCCGCCCCTCATTTTCCTCTGTCTGTCCATCTCTTGAAGTCACTCACCTGTCTCCTACAGGGGCCGCCAAACCCAACAAGGTCACTCCAAAACCTGCAGTGTCTGAGGTTCGGGAAGCTCGGTGGGAGGGACCCGAGCCCGGGGCTAGCTGCTGAAAGGGCCCTGTGCCTTTTCTTTTCGCGTTTTATTTATTTATTTGCATGGGAGAGCGTGCGCACCTCCAGCTGGGTGCTTCCACCGCGGCCCGGCCACAGCCGGCCCAGCTCATAGGCGTTCGCCCACCCAGCACGCTCTGGGAGGTCCCGGGACGTGAGCCCAGTACCTTCCCCGTGTGGGTCCAGTTGGATTGTGCCTGTGCGACCACCCAGCCCTGCTCTGTCCCTTCAGGGCCCCAGCGGGGAGGACAAGGAGCTGGTGCTAGGCCTGAGCCACCAGAACAACTCCTACAACTTCAGCGTGAGTGCAGTGCCCACAGCCCCGCTGCCCCCAGGCTGGGCACTGCCAGGCTGAGATCGCCCCTTCTCCACCAGTTCCACGTGGTGATCGGCTCTCAAGCCGAAGAAGGCCAGTACAACCTCAACTTCCACAACTGCTACAACATGGTGCCCGGGCAGGAGCATCCGTTCGACATCACTGTGAGTTGGGGAGTCGGGGGCTGCAGCAGGGCTAAGGGGGCGCTTACTACAGGTCCAGACTACCGGCTGCTTCCCCACCCCCCAACTGCTAGAGGGTGCATGCCCTCACCAGAGAGGGAGAGAAAGCATCCCAATTGTACGGTCACCCCTCAATCCCTTCCCCTCCATCTCTCCATCCTGTCGGGATTTGGGACATGCACACGCACCAGGTGTGCTTTTCTTTCTTTTTATTTTAAAGAGAGATTTTTGCTACAGGGCATGTGTGCTTGCTGGCAAGACAAAGACAGAGAGACAGAAAGTGAGAAATCACTCCCCAGGGGGGATGGCCACACCCCCAATCCCTTCTCCATTCTCCTCTCGAGATCTTGGACACACACACACATACATGCTCAGCGTGAGTTTAAGCCACCAGGTTTGGAACTCGAACCATGGTCGACTACGTGGGAGTCCAGTGACGTAACCATTACACCATCTGCTGGCCCCACCTGGTGTGTTTTTCAAGTTGCCAGGGCCAGGATTTGAACCATAGTCAGACATGTAGGATTCATCTCCTTTAACCTCCAGGCTATGGGGCTAGCCCGTAAGTTTTGTTTTGTTTTGTTTTGTTTTGTTTCCATTAGAGGGATGGGCACTCAGAAAAGAGAGAGAGAGAAAGAGAGAGGGAGGAGAGGAGAGCACAGCCTGTCTCTTCTCCATTCTTCCCTCCTTTTGGGATGTTGGGCACACACACATGCCTGGCATGTTTTTCAAGCAGGGACTCGAACCACACAGTTAGTCACATGGGATCCAGCTGCCTCAACCACCAAATCACAGAGCTGGCCCAAGCTTAACTTCTTAAAATCCTCCCACTGCTGGGACCAACGGATGGCATAATGGTTACGTTGCTGAACTCCCACGTAGTTGACTGCGGTTCAAGCCCTGGACCTGGCAGCTTAAAACTCACGCCAGGCACGTGTGCGTGCCCGAGATCCCGAGCGGAGAATGGAGGAGAAGGGATTGCGTATGTGGCAATCCCCCCGGGGGGGGTGATTTCTCACTTTCTGTCTCTCTGTCTCTGTCTTTCCAGTGAGCACACACATTCCCTATACCAAAAAATCTCTCTTTTTAAAAAATAAAAATAAAAATAAAAAACCCTCCTGCTGCTGGTGGGATAAGAAGGGAGCTATTAAACCCATTTGAGAAATGAAGCAAACTGAGGCTCAGCGAATTACCCGCCTACACCGGGGGAGAGGCGGAGCTTCCTCTTGCACTCCCAGCTTCCCAAGTCCAGAGCTGGGGGCTGTAGGACCCCCACCACCTACTCTCTCTCTCCCCCAAGGTCATGATCCGGGAGAAAAACCCAGAGGGCTTCCTGTCAGCAGCGGAAATTCCCCTTTTCAAGCTCTACATGGTCATGTCCGCCTGTTTCCTGGCTGCCGGCATCTTCTGGGTGACCGTCCTCTGCCGGAACACGTAATGTTCTTGCCCCTGGGGGTCTCCCACTGCGTCTCATCAGACCCTCCCATCCCCGCCCTCTCCAACTGATGCCCCCCTTCTCTCCCTGACCCCCCTGCAACCCCTTCCCCAGGTACAATGTTTTCAAGATCCACTGGCTGATGGCGGCCCTGGCTTTCACCAAGAGCATCTCCCTCCTCTTCCACAGCGTGAGAGTCTTGGGCTGGGGGGCAGGAGGGGCGGGCCGGGGAGAAGAGACCATCCAGGCACCCCCCAGCAGGTCTCCACAGGGCCAGGCAGGGGAGGCCCGCTTGTCCAACCGTCTGCATGTCCACCCATTTGACTGTGGCCAGCTGTCCTGCCACGCCATGTCTGCTGGGTCTTCTCCCCAACATCTGGCTCTCCACGGGTCTAGCCGTGACCGCCCACCTCGCCTGTCTGACGTGCCTGTCCTCCCAACCATGACCAATCTGCCATGGTTTCCGCATGTCAGTCTATTTTCGAGCGCTCCTCCCTACCTTAATTACAGATGTTCCTTGACTTACAATTGGGTTACCATACCAAAAAAAAAAAAAAAACCATCGGAAGTCAAAAATGTGAAAGTCGAGCCATCGTAAGTCGAGCTATGACAAGTCGAGCCATCGTCAGTCAGTCATCCTATAGGGAACCACGGTCAGCGCTCGTGTCCCTTGACCTGCAGTGGGGTTGGGTCTGGATAAACCCATCATAAAGTCAGAGCATCCGAAATGGGGGACCCCTTATATCTGGCAGTGCTTTCAGCTTGTCCGTGTTCCTGCCCACCCCGCACATCCTCCCATCTAACTGTCCGTCTGTCCGTCCACCTTCAGATCAACTACTACTTCATCAACAGCCAGGGCCACCCCATCGAAGGCCTCGCTGTCATGCACTACATCACACACCTGTGAGTGCCCCGTCTGCCCGCAGGGGGGAGGCAGGGAGGGGCCGGGCGCCACCTCATCGGCACATCTCCCCACTCCCCCAGGCTGAAGGGTGCCCTCCTCTTCATCACCATCGCCTTAATCGGCTCTGGCTGGGCCTTCGTCAAGTACGTCCTGTCGGATAAGGAGAAGAAGATTTTCGGGATCGTGATCCCCCTGCAGGTGTGCGAGGCGAGGCCTCCTGATGCGGCGGACGTGGGCGGTTGGGAGGGAGGGGTGCGTGGGGAGCTGGGCTCCGGGGCAGGGGTGGGGGATGCAGGGCAGCCCCGCCCACCCCGCCTCTCCGCCCGTCCTGGCCAACGTGGCCTACATCGTCATCGAGTCCCGGGAGGAGGGCTCCAGCGACTACGGGCTCTGGAAGGAGATCCTGTTCCTGGTGGACCTCATCTGCTGCGGCGCCATCCTCTTCCCCGTGGTCTGGTGAGCACGCGGCCCCGCAGCCATGAGACCCTGCCCTCCTACCCGTGCGCGTGGGCGGAGTCACCGCCCACTCTGGGTGACCCTCACCACCCTGTACCCATCAGGTCTATCCGGCATCTCCAGGAAGCGTCTGGCACGGATGGGAAAGGTGAGACTAGGCACCTCCTGGTTCCTAATCGGCCCCTTTGCTGCTTCCGACCTCCTGTCTCTCGAACCAATGCCCTGAGAGCTGCTCAGGCCCCGCCCCCAGATAGCCTGGCCACACCCACCACAACGCTCTTTGCCCGGCCCACTCTGGCCACGCCCACTGTGGCGCTTTAACCGGGATCTGGGGAGGGGCTCAGAGTTGCTCCATCTGTAAGTACTGGTTGTCCCTGTGACGGCCCCGCAGCAGGTCATCCTGTGTCCCTCCTGCTCGCTGCCCCCACTCCCACCGCCTCTGTCTTCCCGGAAGCTCCCACCCAGCATCTCTTGGACACCCACGTCCTGTACTCTGTCCCCCTTCTTGGCTCCTCCCTCCTCTCTGATCACCCCTCCTGCCTCTGTACCCCCTGTTGTCC